TCTTAAGTCATTTTGTAGGCTCTGGTCTAGAGTGTACAGTTGCTCTCAGACCATACAAAACCTTGCACAAGCTCAGGTGTTTTAACTCTTGGTTTACCTTTAAAATTCTACACTGCGGAACCAGTGAGATGCTCAGAGGGTAAAGGTTCTTGTCACCAAGCCTAATGATCTGAGTTAATCTCTGGGACCAACAAGGTGGAAGGAATGAACTACCAAAAACTGTCCTCTGACCACACATGTGCCCTGGCCTTGGGTACAGGTGTGGTCGGAGGATAGTATACCCATCTCCCTTCACACATGAGCTTTACACAAATAAATGCAATAAAAATATTAAAAGTCTACATTGTAAGGCAACAAGGCCTCATTTAGGTATGTATGTATCTAATGAGAATACTGCAAATAAGGCCTCTGACTGGCAGAAAGTTTTTGCAAAGTTCACGTATACACTTTATCCATAGTCAAGACCTCTGACTCTTAAGGTGTATTTCCAATGAATTTGGTTATTTGGTTACAGAACACTTCCACTGTTGGTTAAAAGTAATAAAGCAGAGCAAATGTGTGTGGGAAGGCAGGTGAGAGAACACTAAAGGGTTCCTCATCCAGACTCATGGACTAGAAGCAACCCCCCACCCCAAGTAGATCAGACTCAGTCTAAAGCCTGTGTCCTTACTACACAGTCATTTGTTGTCTCCATCTTTTATCCACAAATTAAACTGACCTGGTGAATAATTTTTTAATATTTTATTTATTTATTTATTTATTTGTTTGTTTGTTTGTTTGTTTGTTTGTTTATAGATATTTTGCAGTTCAGGGCACGCCAGGACAGTAGAGGACAACCCACAAGAGTGAACGGCTTCTACCATGTAGCTCCGGGGAATCAATAGAACAATTATTTTCATTTTATGTGTACGAGTGTATCGCCTGCTTGTGTGTAAGTGAACTTATGTCGTGTAATGCCCATGGAGGCTAGAAGAGGGCGTTGGAATCCCCCTGGAACTGGAGTTACAGATGGTTGTTAGCCCCCATTTGGGTGCTGGGAATCAAACTCGAGTCCTCTCCAAGAGCAGTCAGTGTTCTTAACCACTGAGCCATCTCTCCAGCCCAACCCTGTGAATAATTTAACCTAATTTTTAATTATGGTAAAACAGGTAATGCCAAGTAAACACGCCATCCTAAGATGCTATTCTGAAACCTCCATCTTCATAACCTTGGCAGTGATCAGCCCTCTTTCATGGTTCTCTTTTCCTTATTCAAATATGTGCTAACTCTATTTTTCACTTCACGGCATCACTAAGGAACAGCTTCTACTTTTAACGAGAATTGGACTTACCTAAGGCATTTCATATGTAGAAACAAAACCGATTATTTTACAGAATTAATTAATCTCAATACTCTTTATAGAAGAGTATTTGCCAACTACTGGTAATCCACTCCTTCAAGGCAGAGACCATGTTTGCAAGTTCTGATCTTTGAAAAACAGGACAGAGCCTGGCATAGTGCTGCATGCCTGCAGATGCAACACTTGGATTGCAAGTTCAAAGTCAGCCTGGGCTACATAGCAAGCTCTTGCTGAAGAAGCAGGGACAGAGCACAAGAGCTATTAGAACACATAATATTTCTAAGGTTGGCTTAAAAGGGTTTTCATCTGTCACTAATGGAAACTCAAATGCATATAAATCTTTCAGAAAGTTAAATCAATCTAGATTCATAAGAACCTTGAGAAAATTCTGATATAGTCACTAGATGGGTATACAATAGAAATTACTTTTGATGTGATGTAAAAGAAAGTATCAGCATAAGGGATAAGGTTGTGACTCAGCAGTAGAACAGTTGCTTAGCATGCACTGGGACCAATCCCCAGCACTGCACAGGTGTGTACGTGTATGCAGCCCCCTGATGCACACAACATGATAAAAATTACACATGAAATACAATTGCAATTATTCTCCAGAAAGTATGTGTTGGGGGTGGGGGGCTGCAAAGAGCTACACTGAAGTGTAAGCTAACATTTTTTTCTCCAAATGCTAAATTGCACTTAATTAGTATGTACTTGTTTTAAAATGAACCAACAAAAAGGGGAAGGATGGGAGACTTGGAGGAAGGGAAAGAGGAAGAGAAAGGAAACAGGGGAGACAGGAAGGAACACTGCTTAGATGAAGTAAGGAAATGGCAGAGTAGTTGGTTGCGATTTAGTAAAGTGCTATAAATGAAACTTTTAACCTAGCAAGGAACTTCCTAAGTAATCACAATAATAAGCAAATCATAGAATATCTGTGTTGAAAGGACAGCTTGCCTAATTCTGTCAACAGATGTAAAAAACAAAAAAAAAACAAAAAAAAACAAAAAAAAAAAAAAAAAAAAAAAAAAAAAAAAAAACAAAAAGAAAAGAAAACTAATGATTACATGATGCCTTAACAGGGTGTTTGCAAACTAACGTCTAGCTTTCAAAACACCTGTTCAGAGGCTGGACTCTGGACT